TATTAAATAAATAAATAGTGTTTTAATCTCAAAGTGAACTTTTTAAAATTTTTGTATACTCATTGATGTTTGCCTTAATATTGCCTGTTGATTAATGTAAGATACCTCCTTATTCATAATTTTAAAATATTGATTTTCAATTATGTTAACCACCATTTTAAGTTTATTGTTTTCAATAAATATGAAATATGAAATATTGTATTTCATTGTTGTAAGCCGCCTTGGGTCCTTTTAAAGGAGAAAGGCAGTGTAAAAATATTTTAAATAAATAAATATTGAATAAATAATAGCCTTTAAAAACAACAACTATGAATCCTATAGCATTTTAAAGGCTACAAAGTCTTACTGCCATAAGCTTCCATGGACTGCAGTTAACTAACTGCATCAGCCAAATTTGAGTAATTGGCCAACTGCCATGTAATTAATATTCTATGTCTGACTATTCTGCTTTCTCAGAAACATTGATATATGAAGCATACATGAATACAAGAACATATTCAGGTACCTGGACAGTTGCAGCTAAAAGCATTTCCACTCGACGGCAAGCAAGGGTGTCAACCATGCGAGCGAGCACACGGAATGGAGTGCATAAAAGCTTGTCCACATACAGTATTAATACAGCACCAGACTGGCTCAGATGAATCCCCTCTAAGCACTGTAATGTCTTCTTTACTGCAGTTGGCTAAACAGAAATTAAAAAATACAGTTAGAAACCTTTTTCAGACTAAATTTTCAAAAGGCAATTAACTCATAAAAGTCAAAAACTGCCAAATTAAATTTATTCCTCAGTGGTTACACAAAGTAACGGGTAAGATTTACATGTATTAACATAAAGGGTGAGATTCAAGGGTAAGGTTTACAGGTATTAACAAAAAACTCAACACAAGTTGTAATTTTCCTGCAAGTTTCTCTTTATGTTTTGTTTCCTTCTCCCAAACTGATGACGACAACCCAATTGTTACCTCTTTTTTAATTTACTCTAGAACAGCCTGAAGGAAATAAATGGAGGCTAATAAACTGAGATCCAGCATGCTGAGTCAATGAAGTGTTGGACTAAAACTTACAAAACCTCGGTTCAAGTCCTTACACAATCATGGAAACTCATTAGGACCATGAGTAACAGAACTGGTAAAACAACTCCTTAAATATCTCACATACCTTGAAAACCTTATTAAGGTTGCCATAAGTCAGATGCAACTTGACAGCACATAGGAACAACAACAACAACAATCAACTGAAACACAATATTTTGTAAACTGTCTAGAGTGGCTTGGGTTGCCAGATGGTACCGGTACAGAAATTAATTAATTAATTAATTAAACAAACAAACAAACAAACATGTTAGGAAGTGATTTCTCCAGCCATGGTATTCAGCTGGTTCTAGAATCAGCTGCACTTCCCCTTCAAGACTATGTTTATAGCTTTGGGTGCATGTGTCTACACTTATGGATCCAAGAGTACTCACAGAAACTCCAATGGTAATTTAATAAAATGAAATGAAATAAAGTAAATAATATCCATATACTTCAATACTCTCAGTGTCTAAAATGGGCTGTATACCTCTACCCATTAACATTTTACTCTTCATAGCAAACAAGTGACACACAGTCAGTATGGGTTACAGCAATAATTATGTGCCACTGAGTTAATTCTGACTTATAGCAATCCCTTCCAGGGTTTAATAGATATAAATACTCAGAAGTGGTTGACCAATTCCTTCTTCTAGTGGTGCTCTGGGACCATGTAGCTTGCCCAAGACCACACAGGCTTGCTTTTCTCCTACAAGGCATAGAGGGGAATCTAACTCCTGAGTTAGTCACCAAAATAAAAGCAAATGCGTACGTTTTAAAACTCCAAACAACTTACAGCTGTGAAGTTCTCACACCGTGACTGAATTGCTTGGATGAAAAGACCACTTGCTGCAGAATTCCTGTGAATGGCACTAATGAAATCTTGCACTGGAGGTTCATGAGAGAGATTAATAAGATCTTGTACATGATTCACTGTCAGCCAGGTTAAATGTTCTGAGTCATGCAGGTTTTGGCACTAAAAAAGAATATAACATAATTGACAGGTTACCCACCTGTAATTGTAATTCTTTGAGTGGACCTCTGTGAATCACACCCTGGGTGATCCGCGTATGTGCGGAGCCTCATCGGAAGATTCTAGAGCTTCTGCGGTAACAAAAAAACACATTAGTGTAGACTCCCCCCCCCCATATAAGTACCTTGGCACAAAGCCTCTCCTTTCAGTTGTGTCAACCGCCGCTTAGTAGTAAGCAGAATGGTGTAACAGAGGGGAGGTCGGGCCGGATGTGTGAATCACAGAGGTCCACTCGAAGAGCTAAATAACAGGTGGGTAACCTGTCGTTCTTCGTGGCCTCCGTGAATCACACCCTGGGTGACTAGTAAGCTGTCTTACCTGGAGGAAAGTTGTCACACCAAGGTAGAGACTAGAACTGCACGTTTAAAGGCCGCATCAGACTTTTGCCGGAGGTGATGAAAGGGGACGGCTGTGCTGAAGTGGCAGAAGCACAGACGTCTGGAAGAGGTACACCACAAAGAAAAGCTGTAGAAGCTGCCACTGCCCTAGTGAAGTGAGGGCGAATCACTCTAGGGACTGGTTGTCGAGCGCATTGGTATGCCAAATGGATGGTCAAGGCGACCCAAATAGATATAGTCTGGGAAGTTACCTGATGACCTTTAGTAGGTAGTTGATGGTTTATGAAAAGATGAGGTAACTGTCTAAAAGGTTGGGTACGTTGGAGACAGATGGCAAGGACTTGTCTGATGTCCAACGTATGGAGAAGTCTCTCTTGATGTGAAGAAGGTGATGGAAAGAATGAAGGAAGAACGATCGGTTGGGAGTGATGAAATTGAGATACCACTTTGGGAAGGAAGGAAATATCCATGGATAACTTCACCTTATTGGGAAAAAACTCTAAGTAAGGATTGTTAGAACGCAGAGCTGCTAAGCTGCTAGCTCAGTGAGCTGAAGTGATAGCTACAAGGAAACCTTTTTTAAAGGTGAGGAGCTGTAGATCAGTTGTAGCTAAAGGCTCGAAAGCTGCTTAGGTAACTTGTTTCAGAAGCAGAGTTAGCAACCATTGTGGAGAAGGTGGTCAAATATCTGGGTACATATGAAAAAGACCTTTAAGAAAACATTTTAGTGTTGGATGTCTGAAGAAATTAGCTGCTGGAGAATTTGGAGGTTGATAAGAAAGGTACACTCTTAAGAATGAGATGGAAAGGCCGTTGGACTTGAGATGGAGTAAGAAACAGAGGTGGTGAGTGATGGATTGAGAGAAGGTAGTGAGGAAGCTTCAATGAATGATTTAAATGTTCTCCATTTATGTAGGTAGGCTTTCCTGGTAGACGGTTTTTTGGCTTGATGGAAAACATTCATTAGCGAGGGTGAATACTCCACGCTACCAGATGCAGAACAGGTAAGTCCGGGTGGAGGACCTGGGAGTTGTTCTGCGTGAGGTGGTGTGGCAGGTGGGGGAGATGGCGGACGTCTGATGAGAGACTGCGGAGGACTGGGGATTCTTTTCCCGAAACATAAGATTTATTTATCCGTCTCACTCTCTTGGCTTTAGAATCAGCCTGGTGTTTTAAGAGTTCACTTGGAGAAGCTTTGGTTTCGGTTTTGAGTCAGACTGATAAGATAAACCCGCCGCTGCTTTTCTTCTTTCAGCCAAATATTTTCATTCTTATTTTCAGCTTAATGAAGCTGCTTCATAAATCACAGGCTTCGGCTTACTTACTTGTTATATATTATTAGTTTATATTGATTCCTCTCCTCTTCCCCGGTAAAGGGTTCCTCGCGGCTCAGTGCCAAAGATGGCGCCCGCTCCGGTCCGTGCACGGTGATTTCTTCAGAGGGAAAAAGTCCGGGTCTGCCTCCCATTCTTCTCCTTCTGCCGCTCACCATCTGCTTCAGAGAGACTTCTTCTAGACTCTCCTTCGATCCCCATTTCAAAAGGGGGATCCCGGACCAGACGGTTCCCGGACCAGTTTTTCCAGAGAGCTCTTCTCTGGAGTTGCTGGCACCTCCACAACAAAGCCCCACCTCTCCGACTATCCTTATTTGGTGGTATGAGTGTTGGTGTCGAGATCTCAACTGTGAGGCTTTGACAAATATAGAGTTTGGAGCTGGTTGTTTCAGGAGGAAAATGGCTCCTGGGTCATGGACTCTACAGAGATTATAGATTTGTTTTGACATCCTATGTGAGGAGGCTGGTTTCGTCCAAGATCGTTATGCAGTACTAAGAAAGGATGGCAACTTTGATATGTGTACCGGAGTAGTTGTGTCCTTAGAGATTGGATCATACAGATGACTGGCTGGTTCCATTGATGGACGGTGAATTTGGAGGTCAAGGGACTTAGCCATATGGATCATAAGTTGGGCATAAGTCTGAAAATCTTCTGCTGGTGACGGTGGGTCAGCACTGACAATGTCAGATTCTGGTGAAGTGAGTAATACCGATGGAGTCTGAGATCGAGATCCATGATCAGAACCTTCAAGGTTGCATCGGGAGTCGACGGAATGTCAATCGATTTCGGTGCTGAGAGGTTGAATGTCATAGTACTGGTGGTTATCACTCGATATAGATGGAGGTGGCATATCCATGGACATTTGTTGGTGTCGAGAGCCCTCAACATCAAAAAGATGTTAGTTGAATGTCCATGAACTTTGTATGGTATGAGTGGACCTTGGTGTCGAACCCAGTATTGTAATGGTGTTGGGTTCCCAGTATTGTAATGGTGTTGGGTTCCCAACATGTTTCGGATTTACTGGCGGATGGAGATCCTGTGGAGGCAGGGGGATGGAGCAGGCGTCCATGGACTAGGATGGATATTGAGGATCATTGATGGCAGAGCCTGTGTCTCTGTGATGTTTAAATGGAGGTTGGTGATGCGGTGGCAGAGCAGTGAAATATATAGACGCTGGAGATGCCGAGCGTGAGGAATGATTTCCATTATCTGGGTTGGCAGGGAAACAGTGGAAGGCAAAAGCATCACCTGACGAAGAATGTTGCTCGGCCATTCTGGGTTTCTTAGGTGCCAGGTAGGGAGCAGATTGAGGTCCATAAGTGTCTTGATGATATGGTCATTTCGACAGCGATGGTTGTTGAAAGCAAGGGCAACTGCTAGATGGTACGATTGAACCGGGTGAAGTGCCTGGTCAACTGATAGGTGCAGTCTGTCTGAGAGAACACTGGTCGGGGCAAATGGTAACCCGATGAGCGTGCTGAACATGGGTCTGAGCCACACGTGATGGAGCAGGTGGCTTGTGAGACTGTTGTTGTCGATTTCTCTGCATAAGGATCAGTGGGCGATCCAACGGTACCAAATGGGGAACTGTGTCAAGCTGTTCGGAATGGACTCCTTCAGGCGAAGCAACAACAGAGAGGATGCTTGAAGGAATGGAGTGTTGCAGACTGGAGGGAGAGGACGTCAGACAGTTGACTCTGTGATCCCATTCCAGTGACTGAGAAAAAGGTTGATGAGACGGGAGTCCATCATCATCAGAAGGAGAACCAACTGAAATTGACTCAGACAGTTGCTGAGATTGTTTGAGGTATGGCTATAGATTTGGATTTATGGTGTTTGCTTCTTTTAGGTGGAGAAGGCTCTGGAGCTGAAGAGGCTTTGGTAGACATCTGGCGCTTAGTGGGAGCTTTTGTTGCTGAGGATTTCGGTATCAAGGGTTTCGACTTTTGCGTTTTAGAGGTTCTTGATGATGCGGATGGAATGTTGGAGGGAGATGGTGTGGCCAATGGACGTTATTTTGAGGACTCAGAAACAACTTTTTCCATCGCTTTGGTTTGAGAAGTGGCTTTACACAGAGGTGGGGCCATTTTAACTGATTGAAGGGATTGCTCCCAATGGCGGAGTTTCATCCTAGACAGGCAAGATCGGAGGACTCCACGACTGAAGTTCTTACAATGGGTGCAGGAGGAGGTTTGACGTGCTTCTGTCAAACAAGGGGCACTTGGCGTGGCCATCCGAGAGCGGTATTTTATTATCGCAGACCACACAGTGCTTAAATATGCCCAAAGGGGCCATGAATATATGGAAAAACCAATTTACAAAACAAAGGGGATTGGGGGGGAATGCTGTGGCCGAAAGGACGAGCGAGAGAAAAGGGAAACTAATACAGTAATAGTATTTAACTTGATCTATTTTACTAAAGATAAATGGTAAACATAAAAAAAGGAATCAAGATTAAGCTCTCTTTCACGTTTACTCATGGAAGCAGAAAAAACATGAGGCTCTCAATGTGGTGGTTGAAAGTAACTTAAAGGAGAGGCTTGGCGCCAAGGTACTTATACAGGGGAGGGGCTTATTCTAATGTGTTTATTGCTACCACAGAAGCTCTAGAATCTTTCGATGAGGGTCAGCGCAGGCGCGGATCACCCAGGGTGTAATTCACAGAGGCCACAAAGAAGAACCATCAGTTCTAAGGATGTATTTTCACAGTGATCACAAAAAATAGCATTAAGTGTGAGAGACATTGACTTTAACAATTTTACTGATATCCGAACTCAGGAATAGCAAAGATAAACTGAGGGTCCATTTTGCATTTCTCCAGTCTGGGAACCCACTACTGGCTCTAACCATTTAAAATATGTTTTCTTTGCATTTTTCCAAAAATGGAAGTGACCAGAGGTTCACTGTTGGTTTCTCTAGAACAGGATAAAAATTTGTGCACCCAGCAAAGACATAAAACACTGTGCCTTAATTTAGGGAAGAATCACTGTTCCTTTTTTTCCCAGACTAACAGCGGTTTGAGAGGGTCCAAGGGGTGCCAAATAAAATTAAAATTAAAAACTAAGTGTTGGGGATGACATTTGGCCCAATTAATTCCACACCCGCCTAGCTGTACACCTCTATCAAACATGGGAAGGGTGGGAACTCCTCACTATATTAGAGACTGCAAAAATGGAAATCAGGAATAATAAGTTGCAATGCTATCCTTAGACTAGTGCTCTTTATAAAGTTGCCAATGGACATACTCACCAGACAATTCTCTTAGTAACTTAGTAGGTTCAGAGTCTACACTATTAAAAATCTATTAATAAAGTAGTGAAAGTAGAACAAGCACATAGCAAAAAGTTTCCTCCTGCTGTCCAGTTTGGTGAGATATACAGTGTATTACATTCCGGAAGAAGACAAGTCTAGCACATCAAGTTCTTAAGTAAAGGCATCTCGCAGAGACAGATTTGGTACAATAACCAGAATATCAATTTTAGAAAGTTCAATGACATTTAAGAAGTACAGAAATGAATACACATTTCATAAAACACCTAACTTCAACACTGCATTTAGTCCTGACACTGTTCTATCAAAATGACAGCCAATCAAATTGGTTGCATAAGAAAAAAAGAGAGCGAGCACTGAGAAGAAGGAAACTCCAGAAACAGTGTTTCAAATTATTAAAAAGGAGTCAAACTGATGCCTGTATCAGTTTGGAGGAATTTTCCTGATGTTATTATTAGTATACTATCAACGTAGTGTATGTAGACTTTCATAGCAAAAGACAATAGGTCTTTAGTGTAGGTGCTTTCAGTCACAAGATGCTGACAATGTAATAAGTGTAAGTGAAATTCATGTTAATTGTAAGTGGTTGTTTTACACACAAAAACAATGGCCAGAACCTTATGTGTTATACAAATATAAGTGCAATGACATAAATTATGAATTGTCACTAATTAAGACATTGGCACTTGTATTGTGTAATAGTTCTGTGAAATGATTTTTAGAGGGATATCAGCAATGTGTTAACTAGTGGCAATTTCCCACTGCAATTTATGCCACCATACTTACACTGGCATAATTAACTAATAGGATTCTGGCCACAGAAGGATGAGGACATTTAAAAGCAGGTCAACAGAAGAAATAACTCTCATATTTGGAATAATTCAAAACCTACCACATAATCACAAAAGAGGATGAGTGCCCCTCTTCGAACAATCTCTCGGTTACACATTCCAAGTTTTGATTCAGAGTCGTTGTTTCCTCTACTTATCTGAGAGCTAAGCAATTTAGCTGTGGAAAGACTGTGCCTTCTGAAAGAGACAGAATGATTTACATAATTAAATGAAAGCTTGGATTTGTAGAAAACAATGTTTTGCTACATTTTCTTGAAATATGAATAACTCTTCTTGTTTTGCAGCTAATTCTTTGTGAGGGGTTTTCTAAAGAAAATGATGTACCAGGAGCTGGTATTTTAGACCCCATAGTCACTTCCTCTGGCAGAATTCACGCAGAATGCAAAGTGAATGCTGTTTTGCAGCAATGTTATCTGCAAATGATTTCCCCAAATTTCAGCTACCTGTCATGTAAAGTTTTTTTAAAACAAACAAAACATGTAAGGACAAGTCTCAACAATTGTATAGCTGTTTGCTGCTGGGTTGGCAACCAATGTAATATTGGGGGGAAAGTCTCACACTATTATTCAGTGAAACATGATGCAGTGGCTGCAAGGTGGCAGGAGATGGGGGGACTGGAATTCTTATTGGCTCCAGGAAATACAAAAAAACATCCATTAATTCTTAACCATAGTCCCAATGTTCAGAACAGTGGAATTCTCAATAGGATCAGAAAAAAATCAAGTTTAAAAAAGAACATTAACTGAGAAAAAAGTGTTAAGAAATACACAGGTATCCTATCATCTCTAATCAGCAAAACTCAAGATGAAAACTGGGGAAAGAATCTTTTACAATGAAATATTCAGTCTGGCATTTCAAATTCATGTTGGTAGCTTCGATGACACTGTCCAACCATCTCATCCTCTGTCGTCTCCTTCTTCACTTGCCTTCACACTTTCCCAACATCAGGGTCTTTTCCAGGCAGTCTTCTCTTCTCATCAGATGGCCAAAGTATTGGAGCCTCAGCTTCAGGATCTGTCCTTCCAGTGGGGACTCAGGGTTGATTTGCTTCAGAATGGAGAGGTTTGTTCTCCTTGCAGTCCAGGGGACTCTCAAGAGCCTCCTCCAACACTACAATTCAAAGGCATCAATTCTTCAGCGGTCAGCTTTCTTTATGGTCCAGCTCTCACTTCCATACATCACTACAGGAAAAACCATAGCTTTGACTATGCGGACTTTTGTCGGCAAGGTGATGTCTTTACTTTTTAATATGCTGTCGAGGTTTGACATCGCTTTCCTCCCAAGAAGCAGGTGTCTTTTAATTTTGTGGCTGCTGTCACAGTGTAATCGAAGCTACCAACATGAATTTGACCCAACTCCGGGAGGCAGTGGAAGACAGGAGGGCCTGGCATGCTCTGGTCCATGGGGTGACAAAGAGTTGGACACGACTAAACGACAACAACACTAATGTGCAGCTCTATCAAAGCAAATGAAAATATGGGGCCAAGAAAAATTATTAGGAGTTACATGGCAATGGTCCACACATTCATAAGGGTGCCTTGCATTTTAAGACTCATTTACACAAGAGGGGGCAGGGATTATTTTTTTGTCCTCACACCACCACTCTATGGGCTAGATACTCTCAGCCTGACCTATCTCACTGGGTTGTTGTATGAGAAATGGAGAAAATAACATAGGTGTTGCCTTGAGGTCATTAGAGAAAAAGAAGGACAGAAATTTAAGAAAGACAGAAAGAATTTCTCACATTAAAGCTTATCTTTTTAATTTTTGTAGACTTTGGGTAGTTTTTTTTTCTTGGAAGAAGCAGCACAACAGGAAGAGCTGTTTACTAATGAGTATATGATATGGCTTATTTACTTCTTTGAAAAAAAATCTATTCCAGTGTTTAGGTTTGGATCGTCCAGTGTTACAAATGGATACAGCAATACAGCTGGAAGTCATGAGGAAGTAGGAAACAGGGAAGAGAAGCTCCATCCTCTTTACATAGGAGCCTCTGGTAAATGCTGGCTACACATTTCAAAACAAAAGTCATGATCAGGACTGGAGTCAACAAGGTAAGAACTAAGAACCTTCATTTGCATGTGCAGCTGCCCACTGTGTTGAATCAGGAGAAACTAACTACAGAAGAAACACTATAGTGGGAAACAAAGTATGTTCAGACTCCGGTCTGGTCTTGTGTATTCAAAGCTGACATTCTCATACAAGGATTTCATAAAGAATTTCCTATGTAGACTGGGGCTTTGTTTGAGAAGCACTTATCTTCCTGAGCTGTGGTGTGTTTTGATTAGTCCTTTTGCTGTGACTCTTGTTTTTGCGGCTTGACTCTAGCACACGTCTTGCACCAACATAAATATTTCTGTGGTACAACTCCTGTTTTAGAGTGCCCACTAGTCATGCATGAAGACAGCCTGGAATACAACCAATGCTTCCAGCAGGAAAACTGTATTTTAGTGGAATCTGTTTATCATTTCTATTCATGCTCAAAAATCCTTAAAAGCTTTCAAGGAACCCAACTAGACAAGAAAAAAACAGAATACTGTATATATTTTTGGATAATGTGATGTGGGGAAGGCTTCATTTCATTTTAACATGCAAGAAGGAAAAATATAACAAAGGATTATTTTATTTGACTGGCAAACCAAAACCAAAATAATGCTTAACTATGCAATGATTAATCTGCATTTTAAAGTCTGAACTCCAGAGAGTAAATTCATTTATTAGTTCCAGCCAGAGCACACTGACTGAGTGAATGGAATTTATTATGTGAACAATTATGCAAGTCCCATTGACTCAAGGAGTCTGTGCTACATGGATTGACAAACAAATTTAACCTTAGCATACAAGAAGACCTGGGAAGCAACAAGAGCAATAATTTAACAACACGAATTTAATAAAACTATGAGATGTGTAGTGGAAAATAATTCTGTTACCATGTAAAACAGCCTTACTTTGGAGTCTGATGTACTTCTGCCCACCAGCTGCAGTTAGTATAATTCACAAGTAGTAATATTTGACACCATAGGAGTACTAAAGATGGATGTGTGGGTATCATGGATTTAACAAGTTCATTTAACCTTCCAAGTGTATAGAAATGATGATCAGATTCATCTGCTGTAAAAAGCTTGCTGGCTGCAGCTGTAACTCTTCTGAACATACCTAAAAAAAATTAAATGGTTAAAAAAGACATTTAACTTAGATTCAAGTCATATTAAAGGAACAGGTTAGTGGTCTTTAGTAAAGGCAAGTGATAGAAAAAAGGGATTGGCAAGGTTCTATTTCTTTCTAAAACCATACTTGTAGAGCTAATAACTTGAAACTTCGCCATTAAAAAAACTCAGACCACAGACCAGTTCCCCCTTCACTCAAAACATGGGCATGCCAATGCACCTTTCCTTTCCTTATGTTGAGGATACAGGTTCAACTTTTTGCTTTAAAATTGAGAGTTTTTAATTTTTTATGAATTTTGTCATTTCTTAAAAACAACTGAATGAGTAGACATCAATAATGGAAAAAGAGTCTGTCTTTACTGAACAATATCTTTAAAGAATTAGAAAATTTCTTTAAAGTCCCCATGCAAACAAACAAAGCAGAAACAAAAACAAAAATCTAGCAAGGAAACACTTTAGATTTATCAACATCCCTCCCAACAGAGTGATCTCTATGGAAACCACACCCACTCACAGACAAGTTCTTATTTAAGTCTCTTCTTTAAAATACAGGACTAGCATACTACAAGGTGTTGCAGCTGTGAGCTGCTCAAAAGTTTTTCCTTAGAGAACATGTTCTAGGATTTGACATGCTCCCAACAAAATCTAATGCTACCCAAGGAGAAAAAGTCAGAATCACAATTTTTATCCCACAACTGACACTCTAGCTTATCTATTTCATTAAAAGATACAGATGTGGGGATACCATCAGCTTCAATTTACTCTGAATTATTTGTCTTAGAAATTACAACCAATTTGCTTTGAGCTGATATGCAGCCTGTTCAACTCAATTTGTATCCTGATATTTTCAAGGATTTGTAGATGCAATCAAGTACTACTCAACCTCAAATGTGAAAACAATGCTTGGGTTTCCTCTCCTTCCTTCTTCAACCCTCCCTGACTCCTGCCAAAGAGCACTGGAGTCTTTGCCCAATTCTCACCTTTCTATAAATTCATCTTGTATTACCTAGGCTCTATTGCCCAGCTGTCAGTAACCTCTGGATCCTCTCAAACAAAAGCTTTATGCCTGGCCCTGTTACAGAATTTAAATAATACAACTCTTTTGGGATATAAGACTATAACTCACAGGAGATATGAAGGATGCTTTTCATAATGATTGTAAGGAGGAGTGAAAGATTTGAGAGAAGAAAGAAACTACAGCAAGGATAAATAACAAAAACTGCTAGCTAGAGAAGATAGTGCAAGAGAGGAGACAAATTGCCCTCCAGACTGACAGGATTACAACTACATTTGAGTACAGCAAGAAATAAACCTGAGAGAGGAGTTCCTAATCTCTCACAAGACAATTTCTCCAAACTTCCTTTTGCCCTCTTTGGTCCTCCTCAAATATGTATATATTTGAGGATTATATATATATAAAATTCAAATATTTTACAATATGTTGGGAGGGCTGAGTACATAATTCTTTTAAATGAAAACAAATGAATTACCCATATTTGTAAATGTTTCTGTAGAACTATTACTTTTTCCAGAGAACACAAACCAATGTAAGCCCCATTCAGTACCTTAGGATTTATTCAGTAGAGATAGCAGTATTAGATTTATGAGCATAAAAGGATATTGGGTTGTATGTAAACATGAATGTGTCATTATACGTGAATGTCTAGTGTACATAGACTATACAGATCCTGAAATTAACATCCTCACTCCCTCAACCATTAATACCTCATTAGGTTCCTATGAAGATAATTTGAGAGGAGAATGAGAGGCATTTAAGCCACCTTGAAGAGCTTCCTTCAGGAAGGCAGGATAAAACTGTAATTTTGAGAAGGAATTTAATGTATGAATACTACCTACATTTGTTTTTGTTCCTTGCTCATATCCACTTGTTCTAATTTATGTAAGTCAAGCATGCCCAAATCAAGCTCAGCATTGCTCTGACATGAAAAAAAGTAAAGTGAGCAAGTGAGTGAATAAATATGTGCATTTAGCAAGAGATACAGCAAACTACACCTGTTGACCATCACTTCCATTTTGGAATTTAAGCAAATCAAAATGCTTTTTCCATTAAACATCCAGCTTTTCTGCTAAGCTAAGCATTAAGAGGGAGAAGTAAGAAAGCTAGGAATGTGTTATATGAATGTCCAACAGGTAACATTAACTAAGATTAGCTCCATTAAAAAGAACAATAAAAACAGTTGTTAATTCATCTTTGGGATTATCTTATCAGGTATGTCAAGCATGCTCAGTTCAATTCTCCTGCCAAGTAATGGGGAAAGAGCAGCAGGAACATGTCCATAGAAAGAAATTGATTCTACCTAACTGATAAACCACTGATGAAGAGATGAAGGGAAATGGGAAGCTTAAGGTAGCATTTTTATGTAGGCTGGCTCAAAGGGATTTTTTTCTTGGCACAGAAGGACATATCTATTCATATCAGTTCCACACATCTACCTAGTTAATAACGTTTTTGTGCACACAGTATATCACAGGAGTACACCTCCACATAAATATTTTAGTATATCTTTTCATGTGACAACACTGAAGAAACGACACTTGGCTACAATGTAAAGCAGTGAGTGTAACAGTGCAAATGTGCTGTCCCCTCAAAATAACGCAACACACAGCCATTCGTGTCTAAACCGCTGACAAAAGTGAGTACACCCCTAAATGACAACGTCCAAATTGGGTACAAAGTGTCCATGTTTTGTGTGGCCACCATTGTTTTCCGGAACTGCCTTAACCCTCTTGGGCATAGAGTTCACCAGAGCTTCTCAGGTTGCCACTGGAGTCCTCTTCCACTCCTCCATGACAATATCACAGAGCTAGTGGATGTTAGAGACCATCCACACCTCCACTTTCCGTTTCAGGATGCCCACAGATGCTCAATAGGGTTTAGGTCTGGAGACATGCTTTGCCAGTCCATCACCTTTACCCTCAGCTTCTTTAGCAAGGCAGTGGTCATTTTGGCGGTGTGTTTGGGGTTGTCATCATGTTGGAATTCTGCCCTGCGGCCCAGTCTCCGAAGGGAGGGAATCATACTCTGCTTCAGTATGTCACAGTACATGTTGCCATTCATGGTTCCCTCAATGAACTGTAGTTCCCCAGTGACGGCAGCACTCATGCAGCCCCAGATCATGATACTTCCACCACCATGCTTGACTGTAGGCACGACAGACTTGTCTTTGTACTCCTCACCTGATTGCCACCACATACGCTTGACACAATCTGAACCAAAGAAGTTGATCTTGGTCTCACCGGACCACAGGGCATGATTCCAGAAATCCATATCCTCCACTAATTTTTTTCCCAGTTTAAGAAGTCCAGTGCTTTCATTTATTTCAGATGAACAAGTAAAATAGACCTGGGCCCTTACTTCATTTAACAAGTAAGATTTTAAAATGTAGACACAAGATCTTTGCAACAGGAAGTCTAGAAAGGTGTGTGTGTGTTTTACACATATATTATCTTATATGACTACAAACATGCATATGTTCAATATGGCTGGCCCAATACAGGAGGTGAGCATAGGTTACAATGTACCATGACTTGGATAGGGGCACCATTGGGTGCTTCACCTCAGGTAACAAAGTATCTTGGGCAGGCCCTGTATGAACACAGAAACACTTAAACCTTATATGAATTTCCCTATACATTCCTACTGTGACTTCAGAGATGATAACAAAGTCTATTTTAGACTGTAAATTACACTGGTGTTCCGAAAAAAAAGGGTAAGCAGCAGCTTCTAGTTCATCTGACAGGATTTGGACTTTAATTTCCTCAGGGAAATAGTGCAGCAAAGAATTCCTTCCAAGAAATAAGATCTTAAATTGTAGTAACACTGAAACTCGTAATTAAAAAACTATAGTTTCATTGGCTGGCTTAATGACATACTTAAACACATTACATTATGTTTAATACCTGATTTAAAGGTATGAATTAGGCACATAAGCAGTGTGCCCAACTCTTGGCAGTAGAATGTATGCTGCTGTTCATTCATATCCACATTCAAATGTTTAGTAGTAATATCTTCAAGCAGGATTCCTACTAACTGTAGTAAGAACCTAGAGAGAAGAAGCAACAAAATGTTTAAAAAACCATTGTATAGTTTACTAAAGAACTAAACAGACTTAAATATTTTCATTCCCACATTAGAGAAAAACACATATTCATGAATATATACACAAATAGTTCTCACTTTCCTAATTTCATTAACACAGATTATAAATAATACATTACAAAAAAACTAATTTAACTCGATGACTAGGAGTCATATACCTAGAAAATGTCTCCTCAGGTAGATATTGATCTTGTTCTTCCACAGTTTGTTCCTGAGTTAAGATAGGTATGTTTTCACCACTTCGTAGTTTGTTAATTTTTTCACATGAAATTAAATAGGGTGAAAAGAAGAGCTCCTGAATACGGGAAAGGACAATGTCTTCTGTTGACTGTGAAATCAAAACCCGGAGAATAGCAAGAATGCCTGATATCCATAACTGGACAGTGCTAACTGAGGCCTGTTGAACAAGGGAATCATAAAAATATATTATATTTAAAACAAAGACACCCACATGATGCAAGTTCTGCAACCTGAAAAGATGGTCCTATTCAACCATGAGTTCCAACCTTATATGTAACCCATAAGGGAAAGGGCCCAAAATGCATGAGAATACAAAATGAGGAAGCCTCTGTCAACTGTAGGAGGAAGTTGACAAAACTATTCATAAGGCTGCTTTATTAATATCTACATATTGACATCATAAGAAATATTAGGCTTACCATTGTATTTGGAGTCACAAACATGCTCCTTAAAAGCATGTCAACTGGGCGGAGCGCTGATGGTGCCAAAATTTCAAATAAAGTGTTCAATACTCCCAGAGCTTCATGGGAGTCAATCTGCATCTATTTTAAAAATTAAACACATCCCAATCATCATCACCATCACTACCACTACCACCACCACCATCAGAAGAAAGTGATCTGCAAGGGCAGTTAAACAATGTATGAAAAACATACCAAATTATTATTCATTTCACAGAATATCAAGAGCTGCACATTAAGATTGTTTATACCACACTCTCAACATGACAAAAAAACAAGAGTGAGGAAGTTTTTTCATCCTAAAGGCCAAATTCAACTTCATTTTCAATTCAACTTAGAAGACCTTCTTGGTGATGTTCACGTTACACAGCTAATCTCAAAAGGATAAGACCAAGAGTACCAGCATATTCCAGTTTAAAGCTATTACTGATGGTACCTAAGCCCTAGCAGAGGCATTTCTACTTTTCAGAATAGGCAAAACCCAACATGGGGTGTCTTAAAACAACAGAACTCATATAGACAAATATAATCAACATAAGAGTAAATAGGTGCAATTGAAATAAACAAGCTTTTCTTGACCAGTAATTAAAAGAACTATAGATCAGACTGAAATGTATCACAGAGCAAGTCACTTCAGGCTAAAAAACTGACACATATACTGTAGGTATACATATTTCTGGTCAATGGAATATTACTGAATAAGGGTTACATACTGTAGGTATGGTTCTTCGAGTAGCAATCCATGCATCCACACAAAAGGGGGTGGTGCACCTCCGTGAACACCATTTTGGAAAGTTCCAGAGCTTCAAAAACAGAAGTGCCTCTAGTCTATACAGCACAAGCTGAATGCCACTCTCCTCAGTCCCAGTTGTCCACCACAAGGGGGAAAAAGGGGGAAACAAAAGAGGAGATGAGCAGGACATGTAGATAGATGGATCACCATAATTATGGTAAGTAACCAAGACTTTGTCTTTGTGGTGTCCTTAAATGCACACAAAATGGGTGATTAGTGACTTTGACAGTGGAGCTAGGAGTTACATCAGAACAGAGGGCAGAACAGCCTTTCCAAATGCAGCATCTTTCTGAGCTCTGACATCTAACCTATAGTGTGTGATAAACATCAATGTCCTGGACTATGTAGAAGCCCAGCAAACCTCCTGGAAGTCCACATAATGTATGAAAGCAGTGGATGAGGAGACTGCCCTGGTGGAATGACTGCAGAAAGTCTGAGACAGAGGTTTGTTCGCTTGTTCGTAGGTTAGGGCAATAGCCTGAGGGATCCATTTGAAGAATCGTTGAGAGGAGACTGGGTGTCCCTTCCTTGGACTTTGGTAGGAGACGAAAAGTTCAGTTGTTTGTCTAAAGTATTTTGCCATGTCCAGGTAAAAGGCCAAGGCCCACATGATGTCCAAAGAGTGAAGTGACTGTTCTAGGTTATTCTGTGGAGAAGGATAAAAAGTAGGTAAGATGGGGGGTTGAGACATATGGAAATGGTAGGAAGGTGATCTTGGTGTGGAGAATGACCTTATTTTGGGAGAAGATGAAATATGGTGGATCACACCAAAGGGATGTGAGTTCTGCAGCCTGGCAGGCCAATGTAAGGAAGCACCACCTTGAGGGTGAAGGTCCATTGTTGGCTAGTGATTCAAAGGGGTGCTTGGTGAGCTGTGACAGAACCAGCAAGAGAGACAATGGGTCATGTGGGGGGTGTCTCATATTTGGGTAGGTGTTCTGAAGGCCTTTCAGGAATTCTTTAACAGTTTGATGTTTGAAGAGATGCGAAGATGCATGATCAGTTGGTTGGTGTGTGACTATAGCTGACAAGTAGAACTTGATGAAGGAAATGGAGAGTCCCTTTTGCTTGAAGTGCAAGAGGAAAGCCAGAACAATGGGGAGATAGCTTGGAGAATCCGGCAAATTCCGTGATAATGCATAAAGTTGAAAACTTTTCCACTTATGAGTGTATAGATGATTAGTGGAGGGACATCTTGCCTGCCTTGGGATGTTTGCAAAGAGAGGCATATCCTCCAGGCAGTGAGCTTCAGGTGAGTGATGTCCAGGTAAAGGACTGTGCTCTGGTGGCAACAGAGAAGGTCTGGATGCAGGGACATCCTCTGCCTGTCAGTCGCAGTGAGAAGGCCAGTGGTAAACCACTGCTGACATGGCCACCACAAGGTGATGACTGTCACGTCAGAGCAGTCATGGAGGATCTTCATTATTATTCATTGGACCAATGGAAAGGGAGGGACATTTATAGGAGGCTCCCAATCCAGTTTGTGGTGGCTTTTCAGCAGTAGTGGGCATATTTGGAATTGGTGACAGTGACAAAAATGTCTATGATGGGCTCACTCCAGTGGGAGACTAGCTGAGTGTACACCTTTGTGGGAAGTTCCCATTTGTGTATGAGGGTCATCATGCAGCTGAGCTGATCTGCCATTTTGTTGTCTGTGCCTGAGACATGGGTTGCCACAGGGAACACTGGTGAACAACGCAGCATTACAAGAGGGAGCCTGACAGGTAGAGGAGGCCAAAGTACTTGGTTCCTCCCTGTTTGTTTAGATAATACATTGCTATGGTGTTGTCTGTGGCAATTTGGATGGTGTGGCCTCAAATCATGGTCCTGAAAGCCTGGAGGGCCTTGAAGATGGCTAGGAGTTCTGAGGAAATGGATATGATGGGCATGTAGCCTGGACCTCTCTGTGGCAGCAGTGGGGCCCACGTTCCATCATGCTGGCATCCTGAAAAATCATATTAGGGCTTATTTTCAAGTTAGGTCTTATTTTCGGGGAAACAGGATGAGATCCATCAGGGTCTCAAGCATTGTCATTTCAATGGGGATGTTTGTCTTTTTATAGACACAATAAAAACTTTATCTTCGGCTGATAGTACTGGTTTGAAAACTGGCAATTGTAGTGATTTTGCCATTCTCTCTATCAGGTCTCATTATAAGAGATCCTCCAAGGAGAGAGGAACAGCATCCTGGACACCAGGTGAGTATTCTGGGGAAAAACAGGCTTTCCCCACCTCCCTGTCAGAGTAAGCAGAGCTGTCATTTGATTGTCTCTTGCAGGGACAGAAAGTGTTGCATGCTGATGGTGTGAGTCATGCAGTAACTGCGAGCTGACTAAAAAGTCCAGATTAGGGGGAGGCAGAAGCAGCTTGGATTAGGTGGCTTGGAGAGTCAGGGCATGGGTGGATGCCTGGGGAGATCCCTGTTGTTGATGCCGATCCTGTGGAAGACATAGAGCAGTGGAGCTGTGCGGGGAGAGAGATTGATTTTGAAGCTCCCGATGAGGATGGGACTCATGATGCTGCTCATACCTCCAGGGAAAATGGCCTTGAGGGCTACTAGCATTGGTTTCTTGACATCAAGGGCAAGCACGTGTGCATGATCAAGACCTGCTACAATCTCAAGATGGGTGATAACTTCCATATGACTGAGAAGGCCAGCCCATGTCCTCATACATAAAGTGAGAGGGCAAAGGAAGGATTCATAGCAAGCATCCTCACAATACTGAGAGCTTGATTATGTTATCAGCATGGTGGAGATTGCGATACCAAGAACGATCAGGACCTCCTGTTCTCCCTGTCATAGTGTCTTGATTGTGGAGACCGTTGGGTAAAGGAGGGGGATCTCGATTTCAACTGTCACTCATCCTTGGATGGTGGAGGCAAGGATTGCTCATGCAATGAGATCTGAAGAGAAGGTGCTCTTGACAAGATGGCGATACTCTGCACAGAGGGGCTCTGACACTCATCCTCTGAGACCGAAACCATATACTGGGTGTCAGTAATATACTGACATCAACAGATTGCCATTTCTATCTCTTTTTTCAGTGCCTCAGTATTGGGGGCTGCTGTATACTTACGGCTGCTGTGCTACAATTTTTTAGTCTATTTCTATGGTGGTTTTGAGGAAGACTCTGTATAAGGGGCTTTCCCCAGCAAACCTAGCTAATCTGTTTGAGTGCTTGAAATTGCCCTGGGAGGGAGATAGGTCACTCAAAGGGATTGTTCCCAATGAAAGGATTGAGGCCAAGACTGGCAATTCTTGAGAGTAAGGGCAGTGAAGCTCTTACAGATTTCACAAGGCTGAACTAAATGGGTTTCTCCCAAGCAAAATAAGCAAGTATCATGCCCATCAGATTGGGGAATCTTCTTGCCAGAAGTGGCATATTTTTTCATTAAAGCAGGGGCCATAAACCATTGGAAAAGGGAGATGGCAGAGCCATGGCAGGGAGCAAGGAGTAGAAAACTAAACCCTTCCTAAACTAACATACACACACTCTCTCTTTTTATTTTTTTACAAAAAAAGAAGAAGAAAGGAAACAAAAGGGAAGAAAAAAGCAGAGGACTTATCGGGGGGGGGGGGCTCCAAAGGTAAGTAAGTGAAGGTTGCAGCAACAAACAAAAAAGGTCTGAGGAGAGCAGGGCCACATTTGGGCAGTAGAGGCAAGGGGCACTTTCGTTTTTGAGGCTTTACAAAGCTGTATTCATGCAGGCATACAACTCCCTTCTGTGTGGATATCTGGACACCTCAAAGAAATCCTCTTAGAAAATACAGTGCCGAAACACCACGTTTAACATAACACACTGGAGGAAGGCAGGATTTAAATACAAGGGAAGGTCATAAATGTTTTCAACAAACAGATGTGGAAGATTTACTCTACTGCAGCCCAGATAGTTTGGAGTTCTGATAAAATCTGTCTGTTCATAAAATTTGAATATTTTTTCCAGTCATGCATGCATGAAAATTATTCAGTTTGGCACCTTGTCTGTATGTTTTTCAATTGACAGTCACATTCCAGAACATACAGTACTCATATAACACCCGTATACAATCGTGGCCAAAAACATTGGCACCCTTGCAATTCTGTCAGAAAATGCAACCTCTCAGAAAATTGTTGCAGTTGCAAATGTTTTGGTACTCACATCTTCATTTCTATGGCTGTGTTTCGGGTCATTGTCCTGCTAGAAGACCCCTGACCCCTGGTGGAGACGCAGCTTTCTGACATTGGCCACTACGTTGCGCCCCAAAATTCTTTGGTAATCATCAGATTTCATGATACCGTTCACAGAGACAAGGCATCCAGTGCCAGAAGCAGCAAAGCAACCCCAAAACATCTTTAAACCTCCACCATGTTTGATTGTAGGGACTGTGTTTCTTTCTTGGAGTGCCTCAGTTCTTTTCCTGTAAACAGTGCCATGACGTCCTTGACCAAAAAGCTCTACTTTTGTCTCATCTGTCCACAGTACGTTCTCCCAGAAGGATTGTGGTTTTGTCACATAAGTTTTGACATACTCCAGTCTTCCTTTTTTATACCTTTGTGTCAGCAGTGGTGTCCTCCTGGGTCTCCTACCATAGCGTTCTTTTTCATTCAGATGGCGACGGATAGTGCAAGCTGACACTGTTGTACCCTGTGTCTGCAGATCAGCTTGAATTTGTTTGGATATTAATCTGGGTTCTGTATCCACCATTCGAACAACCCTTTGTTGTAATTTTTCAGGAATTTTGCTCTTCTGTCCATGTCCAGGGAGGTTAGCTACAGTGCCATGGGCTGTAAACCTCTTGATGATATTGTGCTCAGTGGGCACAGAAACATTAAGATCTCTGGAGATGGATTTCTAGCCTTCAATTGTCAATGTTTTTCCACAATTTTTTTCTCTGAAATCCACAGACAACTCTTTACACTTCATTCTTTTCTCTATGCTCAGCGCACATACAACACAAAGGTTGAGTCAACTTTTATTCATCTTAACTGGTTGCAAGTGTGATTACTATATTGCCCACACCTCTTACTTGTGACAGGTGTGTCTAAATACAAATCAAAGGAGCATCACATGCCTGAAATGCAATTATTTCTTACAATTTAGACAGGATGCCAATAATTTTGACCGGTGCATTTTTGGGGTTCTGTGTGGGATTGTATCAGATTAGAGTTTCTTCTCTGTTCTTTTGTGTTGTTCCAACACAAACCAAAGAAATGAACATGTGAGTACCAAAACATCTGCAACCGCAACAATTTTCTGAGAGAAGGGTTGCATTTTCTGACAGAACTGCAAGGGTGCCAGTAGTTTTGGCCATGATTGCATTGCTCACAAAATTAATGCATAAGAACATATTTGTTGATAGAAGTAACTTTTAATTTAACCTGCTGTTTTGCCAGCATTGGAAGAATTATGTCTGCTATCTGTCGTGATAGTCTTTTCCACTTGTCTTCATTCTCTCTGTGACACTGCTGCAACACTAGAATGAACATTTCCAGCACCTAAAGATAAACAAAAATCTCAGAACACTATGTATTCCCTTGTAATGCTAGAAAAAAGTAGTTCTAACACAAATATCTTGCTTGTCTTAAATCTGATGCTCCAGATCTCCTTGGTCTTTTCATTCCCAATATACATTAGATATATCATTATATATCATTACATTAAGTATATTTCTGCTCAATGCAGTCAATGATAATGCTTATGAGAAACTGGACACTGTATTCCAGGTAAAGTCTGTCCAAAGCAGAACATAGTTTAGGTATGAGAAAACAAATAATATACAGTGGTGCCTCGACTTACGAAATTAATCCGTCTTGGACTGGTGGCCGTAACTCGAAAATTTCACAGGAGGCAGAGGGCAATGGGAGATGGGAGACAGAAGGCAGCGGAGGGGGTTTGGAAGCCCAGGAAACCAAAAGCTGGCAGCGGGTGCAGAGGTCGGGGTGGCTTTTGGCTTCCTGGGCTTCCAAAGCTGCACCCGCTGCCCTCTGCCTCCTGTCCCCGCGGGGACAGGAGGCAAAGGGCAGCGGGAACGGGCGGCAGAGGGTAGCTTTAAATTTCCCCCCTTCCCCCCCAGCCTTTTGTAGGTCGAAGCGTTGGTTGCAAGTTGAACCAAAATTTTGCGGCCGGAGCTTTTCGTACCTCAAAATTTTCGTAAGTAGAGACGTTCATAAGTCGAGGCCCCACTGTAATGAGAGGACTCATATTAAGAAACAGAAAAAGAGAAAAGGGCTACTTTTGAGGCAGCAGTCCTGCCAAAGAGTAGATGATTTAAAAAGAAAAACATACAACTTCACAAATTCTATTTATAGAGGCTTAGGTAGAACCATAGCCTGAGCAATACAACTCCCAGATCCTCAAACCAGCACAGCTTGCTGGCAAATTCCAGTAACCTTAAACAAACAAACAAACTTCTTCAAAGCTCTGAGCAGAAGCCATAATTTTCCAGAGTAAAATCAAATGCATTTCCCATTAAACACATTTGCTCCTCAACTATGGAATGCAACCTGTGCAAAGTTGCATAATCAGTTTCCATTTAAGTTGTTTTTTAGGAAGAACGGTGAATATATATTTTTCAGTCTGGACTTTTAAGCTGTTTTGATTATTGTGTTAATTTTTCATGGTTTTATTATTCAAACTGTTTCAGTGAAGTCTTGGTATTTTGCTTTTGAGTGGAAAGACCAACTACCAATATAATAACAAATAAAATACAAATAAATATAAACAAATGAAAAGCTGTTCAATCAGTCAGAATTGAACTGAACCCTCTATTTACGATCCATATCTTTCATTACCAATTTTGGGAAGTTGTTGCAATTTATTATTTCTTTATTACATTCATTTATGCCCCATATTTTCTAAAGTGGAATAGAGAACTCTCTTCTGCCATTTGTCATCTCAAACCTCTAGAATACTTTTTTTTTACAAGGCACTTCATTTAACAGATTAGTCTCAACTTCTAATATTCATGAATCTGCAGTGCTTCAGCAAACGTGAAATAGTCTTAATTCTGGTTTCAAACTGTCAAGAGTTTTTGAATCATTAAAAGCACACATAAACAAGCATTTTATCATTAAGTGTCCTAAGTCTGGAATTGCCAAAAACTATGCTCCTTTAATTCCATGCTCTAAATAAAATAGTAAGAGATGTTAAAGTGAAAGCACTCAATTACACTTCACTACAGCTAAGAATCTACTTGATGGCACATAATTATTGTTATTAAGGTAGTTAACAATCAATTTACCTGCTGATTATCAGAAGCTAGAGCTAATAGTGCTGACTGGTTTTAGCACTGTTTACAATCATTATTTTTGTGTTTGCTAACAAACCCACTTTTTCAATTGAATAAACGGGTGAACATATTTTCACCTAATGTCAATGTCTTGGTCTTTTCTGAATTAAGAAAGGGCTGCTAGAAGTAGTTTAATTTGTAAGCCCAGTGAGATCTTTCACATTTTGTAAAGTGATGAGCAGCTCCAGCGGATCTAGGGGTCAATTAACCAGACAACGGCTGCTGCAGGCTCAACTGCTTTCAAAAGGCATTTTCCCCATGTATCCCTCCCCAAAAAATTAATGAGCAGAAGTTCATTCTTGTTTAGTGTGTGGGTGAAAAGCATATGGCAAACTTTTTCTTACATTAAAGAAAATATTACTTTAGAGAATTATGAGCCCTACTTTAGCAGCTACAGGTCCACTACAATATGTTAGGGTTAATTTGTCCTCAATGATAAATCTGGAGCAATGATAAATAAATCTCACTTTATTTACAGTATACTGAATTTTCTGGGGTATCAGATTAACGAAGGAGGAATAACTAAGATTACTGTATCGTATTCGCTGGACAAAATCCTCCTGCAGAATGTTATACTGTGTAAAGTTATGCTGTCAATATCCAGCAGAAGGAATCATAGACTTGGAAGGGGCATATAAGACCACAGAGCTCAACATTCTGCTCAGCACAGGACTCCAAATTCAGGTAAATCTGACAAATGGCTGCCTTTCTCTTGAATGCCCCTAGTGTTGGAGTGCTCACTATCTCTCAGGACAGCTGGTTTCATTTATTTTATTTTATTTATATACCACCCATCTAGCCAAAGGCCACTCTGGGCAGTTTACAACATAACACAAATGATAAAAACGTCACTACTTATATAAAATAAATACAGTATTAAGTCATAATAAAATACCACAACATTTAGACATTTAAACATAAATAAATTTCATTGTTCAATATTTTATTAAAACAAATTGAAAGCTTTTCATTCCCCCCCGCCCCAATTTCAGTTTCCAAAGGCTCTCTTTTGCCCCAGGGAAGCCTTTGAGAGCCCACCACTGCTAGATCACAGCAACTGAGAATGCTACTTTTCAACAGGGTGGATAAAAATCAACAATTAAAAAAATCTAATTCATTTAAATCACAATTTAAATAAAAAATTAAACACTAAAATCAATTTTTAGAATTTAAATCATGATTTAAATCAATTTGATTTAACTTTTCCTGTTTGAAAAGAATGTTGGGCGTGATTTAAATCAAATCCATCCTGCTTTTCAAACAAGATTTGACACTGGATTTGTTGCATTTAGTATGTTTAAGCCAAGGGAGTCTGAATCATGATAGGCATATTGTGCATAGTACATGTAATTCCTATAACATTTACCTGATGGTACTGGATAAGCCTCAACAACATTGAGACAACCACTTCTTTTTGTGTTTCTAGTTCTTTACCAGCATCGGCTTTGTTTGCTCCTCTTAATATAAAGAGATCATGAACAATGGGTTGCAGAGCTGGTATTGCTAAAGAGAAAGACATTATGGTTTAACTTATAATTACATTTGTTATGCCACAGTAATCTTCTCATCTAGAGATGTTCTGCCATAAAGCTTAGTTCTGAAGCATCTTTATTTACACAATATCTTTCTTGCTTCCTCATATTCTAAAAATAGCCCAAGTGGTTACTTATGTAGATTACTGATCATCTCCAACTACAACAGGAAACATTTTTATCATGAATTCAGCTCTCAGTGATTTTCAAAGACAATTCCATATCCTAAGAAACAAAACCACTTTTTGAATGCAAAAGGTGAGACCATACTTACTCAAAGGAGGTGTCTTTGCCCTCTCTGATCAGACTACAAGAGCAAAAAATACTCTTCAGCCCATAATTGTGACAAAAACCCTAACAGCGAAACAACAGCCAGTGAACACTCTAATTGGAACATGAAGTGGAAAAAAGCAGAGGTGACAACAGTTCCTTTGTTTTCTTTGTTCATGTCAGAAACACCCCAATAAAATTTAAAAATATATTAGTTCTCACCCAGTAACAGTCAAAATCAAGAGCATTTGTGGCAATTACATCAAATCTTCCACATACTGAGGCACACAGAATACACTGACACAGGTATGAAGCTGCTCATTATCCTCTGAACTCACAAAGAACAGTGCAACCCCCCCCATATTCTTAGGTTCATTTTGCTTCACTCTATCACTTATCAAGTAACATTGAAGTCACCTAGTTCTCTCTGTTACTGAGTGCTAGACTTTCCTGGGGATCTATCCATTTTAGGAGATATGTAGCTCTTTCTTTCTACATTGTAATCTTAGCATTCTCTGTTGTTTCTTCAGAATTCACAAATGTTCTGGAAAAAAAAAGTTCATGCTTTTAACCTGGAGGGGCACAATGGTCTCCAAAGAGTGGATGTGCATTTGATGTTGATGCCTTCAGTGTTTCACTATTAGCTGCTACCTTTATCCATATGTCACTGAACACCATGCCTGCCAAGTAACCAAATTATCAATAGGGATTGGCTTCAGGCATCCAATAATTATTCTTCAGCTTTTATTGACTGCTATATCTACTTGCTTTGCATGGGCTGAGCCATTCAGCATCAGGTAGAATAGCATAGGGGCAAGGATATAGGTCTTAATATTTGTGATTCTATGCCTCAGCTGGTTCCTGATAGGTTTCAAATAATATTCCTTATGGAGACCTTTTGCATTGTTTTCTGGCAGTGTTTTTTATAGGTCATTGTATGATACAAAGCAACACCCATGCATTTGGTGGCAAAGGAATGACCTAGTTCGACACTATTCTAAATTACCTGAAGTTTCTGAGATGCCTGCTTTATTGCTCAGATAAAGGTACATATCTGAGTCTTAGTAAGAGTGGGTTTCAAGAAAAAAAAACTTGAGATTTTGAAGAAGGGTTGTTATTAGTTTAGTTTATAATCCTTGGTTAGATTATAAAATTTTAACAGTAAAATTTAATAGTGAACAGTGTTATACGTGGTAGAAAGATCAATACAAGCTACCTCCATGATATTCCTAGTTTCAAATCGTTCATTAGTCGTTTAGTCGTGTCCGACTCTTTGTGACCCCATGGACAAGAGCATGCCAGGCCCTCCTATCTTCCACTGCCTCCCGGAGTTGTTTCAAATTCACTTTGGTCCAACCATCTCATCCTCTGTCATCTTCTCCTCTTGCCCTCACAATTTCCTAACATCAGAGGCTTTTCCAGGGAGTCTTCTCTTCTCATGAGATGGCCAAAGTAGTGGAGCCTCAGCTTCAGGATCTGTCCTTCCAGTGAGCACTCAGGCTTGATTTCCTTTAGAACTGATAGGCTGATTCTCCCTGCAGTACAGGGTACTCTCAAGAGCCTCCTCCAGCATCACAATTCAAAAGCATCAATTCTTCTGCGGTCAGTTTTCTTTATGGTCCAGCTCTCACTTCCATACATCACTACAGGGAAAACCATAGCTTTGACTATGCGGACTTTTGTTAGCAAGGTGATGTCTCTGCTTTTTAAGATGCTGCCAAGGTTTTTCATCGCTTTCCTCCCAAGAAGCAGGAGTCTTTTAATTTCAGGGCTGTTGTGCCATAATCTGCAGTGATTATGGAGCCCAAGAAAGTAAAATCTGTCACTGCCTCCATATCTTCCCCTTCTATTTCCCAGGAGGTGATGGGACCAGTGGCCATGACCTTAGTTTTTTTGATGT